CCCCCCCATATTGTTAAGTCTGAATTTGTTGGTACCACGCTTTTATGATCCTGGAATGCCAGTCTCTGGAATTCACCTCTCTCCAGATATAGGTAGAATACCTTTATACCTACTATTCTGAATAACTGAGCTGCAATCCATGTGAAACACCAGGTTTGTGGCGTTGTTTTCATATCACAGTAATCTGCTGTGGCATTTCACAGCATCTGGACTGCTATAGGCAGCCATAAATAAAAGTAGCCAGGAGGAAATCTCTCTAGTTGGTGGGATGATCCCACACAGCCTATTGCTGATGTAGAAATCCAGTGCTGTCTGCATGCCCATACAGATTATGGGCAATTTTTACAGCCAGGGATGGGATCCTTCTGACTGTTCCTTCAAAAGGCCACACAGCAGTATTTGCACATTTCCAGCCTCAATCCGCGTAAGTGAAATCATCCTTTCCCTGCTAGATTGTGCTGAAGAGAGCTGCAGCAAGTGACCACACTCCTTGAGTGTACTCTGCTGAGCAGCCACTTTGAAGTCAGAGCTCTTCTATTGCACTAAAACCTGAAACTGTGCCTTTGGCCTCTGAGAGCTGCCAAGACGAGGAAGCTTGGTCTAAAGAGATCCTCTCCCTAAAGATGTCTGGTGGGTTACTTCTCCATCAAGAAGTCCTATGCTTGTACCTGTTTCTTAAACCAGGAGATAATCTGTTAAAATATATGGTTTAGTGTGTGCTTCTGATGTGATAAGGGTGGGAACCTGTTTCTGCTTTGCGAGCATGTGTCACCAGAAAGAGGAGCTCTAACACATGGGGGGGCCAGGACTCTGCTTAATTATCTCTTCTGCACTGCTGATAATACATAGAGAGTGTCTTTTCCAAGTTAACAGGTTCCTGCTGGGCCAGTTGCATGCAGAGCATCTGTACTTGTACAGGCTGATGTGCCATGGAATCTGGTAGCTGAATTAGTATCCTTCATAATCAGTGTAGTTTGAAATAAACGAATATGCTGAATAATAGCTCTGTTACTTATTATTTAAGATAATCTGTACTGGATGTTACAGTAAAACTAATTGTTTTTTTCATCACTTACATTTTTCTACAAGAGTTAGAATTTCTTGGACGTGATCAGGTTGCTAAAAAACAGCTGACTAACAGTGTAGCAAAACGCAGTATTTATTTTTAGATTTTTTTTTTTCCCCAGCAGAATGGTAAATAGTTCCTATGCTGTTGCTTTGCTTTGTCTGACAAAAGGCAATGAGATTTATCTGTGAATAACCCTTTTTGTTGCTTTCAGTACAATGCAATATCTGTGCTAGCATCTAGACAACTGCTATAAACAGGAAAATGATAATAAGGGCTATGTGCCTGTGACCAATACTCTTGAACTCTTGTAATATTTACCCCCATAAGTAGTGTAAAGGTTTGAGTGGCATTTCTGATATAATAAAATGTTTGGATACATATATATATATATATATATATTTAGGAAAGTAGATATAGAATATGTGCATACATATATATTTCCTTGTTAGCATTTTTCTGGCATCTGTCCAGGTCCCTACTACACCTAGACAAAATGATAGTGACAGAATTATTGTAGCCATGAATACAGAATTTCACTTGTAAAGCAAGTAACATCATATATGCCTACCTTGTATTTCTGTTGATATAGTTCATACTGAATAGACCCTTGCTAATTTATGCTGATGGCTCTTCACAAATGACCGGGTGTTGTGGCAAGAAGAACGTTCACTAGTACAGCCTCTTGCTACAGGCTTGATGCTGGCCACCATTTTGGGACTCCAGTCTGAGGGACAATATCCATCTCGGCAGCTCTCTTGACGCTTATTATGCAGTTGTAGAGGAAATAATAAAAAGAGCTCAGCTACTGGAAACTGCGGGCTTTCTTTTCCTGATCCTTTTGTACCAAAGGGTTTCCCTTTCAACTAAGGGAATAAAAAAAATCGGTAGGTAGTGGGTGAGTGGTTTGGGAACTGAAAAGCAAAACAGGAAGAGAAATCAATTAAAGTTTCTTAACAAAACCAACCCCTAAGCAATTGAATCTGTAAGTGGGGGCAGTAAACAAATAAACAAAGCAGCCCAATAGAATTCTGAACCATAAACTATAAATGAAGTTGTATGGAACACCTGGAAATGTGGCATTGCAAGCACAAGGGAATAAACCCCCCAGCTGCCAAGAGCTCTTTTCCAAGACTTCTCCCTGTTATGTGCACTGTAACCACTGCTGGAAAAAGATACATGAGAAAACCTATGAATGTTGTTTATTCATGCTCTGTCTCACTCAGAGGTGTAAGGAAAATATAAGAAAGGACGACACAGTAAAGGAGCAATTTGGAGAAGTGTTTCTTCCAAAGAATGACTTCTGTTTGTTGATGCTGGCAGCTGCTCACAACAGCTGCATTTACCAGTCAAGCTGGGAACTTACATCCATGCAGGTATCAAAGTGGAATTAATAGTTTGATAGTGTTAGAACATCTTAGCACTTGATATAATGTCAAAGTATAAACATCAGTGTTAGGAAACCTCAGTGGACTGACTGAACAATCTAAAGTGATGTTGGAGTTGACCTGGAGTAAGAGCTGACAGACACATGAGCTAGTTCACAGCCTCTCCTGCCCTTCTTGTCTGTGTCACAGTGTATGTAAGCACACGGGTTGAGAAGACTTGGAGATAAAACTGTTTAGCACATCAGTAATCCAGGAGATCTCCGGTAACAGTAGCTTTTTTCTGCTTCTGGTACACTGAGATGGATCTGCCACCTGTCTGGGAGGTTAATGGTATGCACCTGATTCAAAGCAAAATAACTTTTGAATGGCTGCACCTGATCTGTGTAAAAATCCGTCATGTTTTGAGATTTTTTTTTTAGTAAAAACTAAAAAACACCACAAAAAACAAACCCTCAAGCATTATGGATAGAGTCTCTATGGCTGACTGTGCTTGTATAGTAAATATGGAAGGGTGCAGACTCAAGTGCTGGCGTGCAGTTGTCTGTACCATGTAGCTGTTAGGACCTTCAGGAGCAAAGTTCTATGATTCTATCATTCACCAACAGATTATTCTACAAGGAGTTAAGGGATATCACTAGATCAGCTCGTGTCCTTATGGGTGGAGGGACTTGTGAACCAAGTGATGATTGGTGGCTGTTCTCAGTCACAGTGACCATGAAGTTGTAGAGTTTCAAATAGTTGTTGACAGGAGGGAAACTGCCAGCAAAACTTTGGCCCTGGACAAGCAGACTTGGGGCTGCTTGAAAGAGCTGGTTAGTAAGGTCCCCTGGAAATCTGCTCTTGACGGCATTGGGGTCCATGACGCTGGTCACTTTTGAAGAGCTGTCTCTTAAGAGTGCAGGAGCAGGCAACTCCAAAGTGGGGGAAGTCAGGCAAGCAAGGCAGAAGGCTGGCTTGGCTGAGCAGGGATCTTCTAGAACTTAGGTAGAAAAGGAAGTGTGTGGACATTGGAGGCAAGGACAGGCAGTGTGGGAGGGCTAGAGATGCTGTTCACCACTGTACGGAGAAAATTTTTGCAGCCAGAGCTCACTTAGCATTTAAACTGGCCAGCACTGTGGAGGACAACAAAAGGGCTTTACGTTAACAGCAAAAGGAGGATCAGGGATAACAGCGATTTGTGAGGTTGGTCACTTCACAAATAGGGATGTAGACAAGGCAGAGACGTTTAGCACCGCCTTCGCCTCTACCTTCAACACTGATGATGGGCCCTGGGATCCCCAGAGCCCTGTGCTGGAGGACTGTAACTGCGGGGATGATAAACTCCCAGCTGACCCAGAACTTTAGAGACTTGCTGCTCCAGCTGAATATGAATAAGGCTCTGGTGCCCAATAGAATTCATCCCAGGGTACTGAAAGAGCTGGCTGATGTTATTGTGAGACGTCTCTCCATTATTTTTCAGTGGTCATGGGAGTCTGGAGAGGTCCCAGTCAACTGGAAGCTGACAAATGGTGTCCCAATTTTCAAGAAGGGTAAAAAGGAGGACCCTGCTAATTACAGGCCTGTCGGTCTCACTTCAGTGCCTGGTAAAATTATGGAGAAGGTTATTATGAAGAGGTGTTACTGAGAAACACTTGAGAGGCAGTGCAGTCACTGGTCATAGTCAGCACAGGTTCTCAAGGGAATGGCCCTGTCCAGCCAACTTAATTTCCATTTATGACAAGGTCCCCAACTAGTTGACCAGAGGAAGCCAGTAGATATGGAGTTTTTTCATTTTAGTAAAGCTTTTCATACTGTCTTTCACAGTATCCTTCTGGACTGAATGTCTGGCATGCAACTAGACAAGTCCGTAATACGTTGGGGACTGGGCTCAAAGAGTTAAAGCAAATGGGGTGACATCAGGCTGGCAGATTTAGGAGGAGGGGCTGAGGTCACTTGGCTTGTTCAGCTTGGAGAAGAGAAGGCTGAGGGCGGACGTCATCCCAGTCTACAATTTCCTCAAGGCGGGACGTGGAGGGGGAGATGCTGAGCTCCATTCTCTGGTGACCAGCAACAGAACATGAGGGAATGGAATGAAGCTGTGTCAGGGGAAGTTCAGACCAGACATTAGGAAAAGGCTCTTCACTGAGAGGATGGTCAGTCCCTGGAACAGGCTCCCCAGGGAGGTCGTCACACCACGAAGCCTGTCAGAGTTCAAGGAGCATCTGGATGATGCTCTTAAGTTAGTCATATGGTTGAGTTTTAAGTAGTTCTGTGAGGAGCAGGGAGTGGGACTTGATGATCCTTATGGGTCCCTTCCAACTGGAGATACTCTATCTGCTCACAGTAGTCAAGTGTTCGATTACTTCCAGGGTCTGGTCCAAGGCCCATAGTATGGAAAAAAAGGATCAGAATAGGGAGAAATCCTCCAAAATCTCCAGGGACCTGGTGGTGATGTTCTCTTAAAAGACAGTGAAGCTAGTGATGAATTTTACATTGGACAGAATTTTCAAATTAAACCAAAATATCTCAAAGGTGTGTAACTGCCCTAGTTTATAGGGGTGTGGAAGATGGAAATGTGGAGGGTGAGGGTCAGTTAATGTGGTTTTTTTTTCACCTGTTTTTCGGCTTCTTTTAAGCTGTTGGGTCAGTTCAGTTAGCAGGATCAGTTAATGATAATATTACACTCAGTGTGAGAATGAAAACACATTAGATTTGACTAGTCCTAACAGTCTCTAGCTAGCACTAAACTATGTTGCCTCTAGCCATTTTCTCTCATATTCAAGGGCAAAGTATAGTTCTATGTGAGTGCCAAAGCTTTGTAATTACATTCTTTAGAAGGCATCCTGCAGTGAATTTGCTATTAAGTATTTAATTTGCCTGTAAAATAATGACTGAGTCATAGCTGTCCAACTAAATAGGAGCAACTTAATGGCAGTGGTCCTTAATACAGGCTGCTATATATTTTAAAAGATTTAGTTTTTCTCTTGTTTACAGTTAATATTCTGCTTCTAGTAAGTGAAACTGAAAGAGGAAGTGGTTTCTATTCTTAGTGTACAAGCCATTGAGCCCCTACTTACACTTTTGTGTGCTATGTTTACATTTAATGGCAACTACATGTTATGTTGCCTTCCTCCGCCGATGCAGTTGCTGTACAAAAGCAGTGGCAAATTACATTGTGGTTGCTTGCAGCTTCCTCCTGCCCGTTGGAGGCACCGTCTCTCAACCAAATGCTGCTAATGTTACTAGTGTAGATGCTCCTAAGTAATTGTGAGTCGCATTCCTGCAAGATAAAGAAACTTTATGCAGATTATTAGTATAGATGACAGGTTCTCGTCCTATAGCTGCTGTCATTACGAGCCTCTGTTTTGAAACCGTCTGCGGCTGCTGCGCACCTTGTGTCTGGAGTGTCTGCTTTGTCTTTCGTGATTGTGTTCATCTATGTTCTATCGATCGGTCTTTTTTACAAAATTACAGTTTTGCTTGAAAGTACAGTTCTAGTTTTTCACCCGCTCCTTCGCTGCTTTCCTCTATTTTAGAGGAATTTTGTGAATTTTCCTCCCCGCCCTCACTGTACGGGTTTTAACATTACAGATGTGACCTACAGCAAAATAAAAGTGAAAGGCAAGGAATTTGATGTTTTCTTCTGTGTTACATTTGCATTGTATATATGTCACCATCAGCTCTATTTTTGTTTTTTTAAGGTAATTGCAGGTGGCTAAAATATAATCACATATAGAATACAAGATTTCTATCAGGATGAATTTGTACTTGACTTCCAGCTGTGAATTCTCTGTAATTGTATGATTTTTCTGTAATGCATGATTTTTCCCTGTAGAGAAAACTGCTGTTTTCTTTTGGCAGAACCTCAGTAGTGATAAACATTGATGAGCAAGTTGTTGGAGGTGATTTTGTTCATTTGTTTTGCGGCTTTCATAGCACTAGGTAGAAAGCACATTGCAGCAGATTTTCTATACAGCTGAAAGTTATTTGCAAATCTTTTCCAAATTTTCTGGTGAGTTAAGATGCTGAATCTGTAATAAAATAAACATTTTGGCTATGAGAAAGATCTTCTATTGAAAGCACTGAGTATGGTGAATGTTGTCATGGATTGTCGCATTAGAAAAAGATCAGGAAATATTTAATGGGTAAAGGAAGCCTCTTGTTTTCATCACTTAGCTTTTAATGATTTGTGTGTTGCTCAAGACAGGAAACTTGTAGAATATGTGAAAAGAAGCTCACACTTCAGAACCATTTTTCCAGTCACTTTTCTTGAACAAGTAATATACTCAAAGCAATTGTAAACGTACGGATACAACTCTGACAAAGTATCAGAGTATCACAGAAATAATATCTTAATATGTAATAATACCTCTTGTTGGGCTTGATGTACTTGTTTTTGGTGATGCACTATGCAAAACAACTGAAACACTTCTAACCCTAGAAATATGAGTAGGATGGAATGTGAACTGTGGTACAGATTTTTGTTTGAATTTTCTAGTGAGTGGGAAGTATTTAAAGGAGGGGGGGAGAAATCCAGGCATGGAGGTAAATAAAATGCCGTCTTTTTAATTCTTTAAGTCTGAATGATGGCTTTTATGCATATTGTGAAAACACATAATTGCTTCAGTGTTCCAGCATGAGCTGGATAGCAGCTGAAGTAGGGCTTATCAGGGTAGGTATCAAAATCATAGTGAGGGATGGTGACCATGTCTTGACATAAAATAGTTGGCAAGCACATAGCTAAAAAAGTGTCGCAAGACTATAGGGGTCCCTAGCAAACTGACTTCACTTTAATATTGCCAGATTTCTGAATGCAGTAATCCACAACTCTTAACATGTTTTTTTACCTTTTTTTTTTCTTTTTTTTTTAAGTCTATAGTGCAGCAGGAAGAGAGACTAATTATTGTTATGCCTAAAACAAAAGGATCTTCGAAGAGGGCCGTGGCCTTGAGATAGCGTTCACTCCCACATTTCTTCCCAGCACCGTGGTAATGGAGCACGTAGAGATGGGTAATGGGAACCCTGTTTGTATTGAGTCAGCTGGTTACTGTGCTCGCTGTATTGTAGTTGTGATTTCCATACATGGCTGTCACTCTGCTAAACCCATAGAATGCCAAATATCTTCAAATAAGTAAATGTGATACTAAACATTTAACTCCCCTAATGTAGAATATCTAGAGTAACCTGGCCAGAGAGTATTGAACTATGACACTAATGGACTTGTGATATCCCACAAGGGACGAAAATCCCCTATTTTCAATGGCTGAGTTTAAACCGGTTTTATTTGCAATGAGTTACATATGCTTGTGAAAATTTGCAGTCTTAACTTGATGTCTGTAGCTCAAGTTTCTTTCAAGTAAATTGAAAATACACATTATTAAAGGCTGCCATTAACCTGAAGTAAGTCTGTGGTGACTGTAAATGATAAGTTGTTCTACAAAGTCAAGAAAGATTGGTGTTGCTTTTCCCAGGGGGAAAAAAGGGGGAAATTGGAGATAGTCAAAAAGCATGATGATTTAGGCCAGTGATACCCTGATTACTTCCTTCTCTAAGGTGGTGCCTTCTATGTCATAATGACTTTGCATGAAACTTGCTCAAATACTGTAACCTTTCTGCAACTGAAATAATTGTGGTTTTCTCAGATTAAATTGCATTTCCTAATTCCAGTAGCATTGCCAGCTTTATGCGCTATTTAGCAAAGAACTATACCGTGCCTTCCTCTAAAGCCTCATCCTGATCTTGATGTCAATTCAGCAGAATTTTATTAGGTTTTTGATAATATTAACTGCAATTTAATATTTATTCACTGTAAGAGTAATCATTGCATGAGATTAAAATAGAGAAATGAGATTTGTATAAATTTACTTCCTCCCTCAAAATGATTTAGGCAAATTGCGTTTCTAGACAAACATGACAAATTGCTGATACTTCAAAATACTAGAATGTGAATACTAGATGTATAAAACATTTTTATGTCTAAGGTTGATAAGAATGAGAACCTGTCCAGGAACAGCCCTGTTGCATAATATGGCACAGTAGATGACAATAAAAATGTGATTAGGAAGAGAAGGGAGAAGAATTTGGAATTCAGGATATGGAGGATTAACTAAGGACATCTAAAGTAGGAAAATGAGGATTGAAGGACATATGGTACAGAATAAAAAGGATTACAGGGCCTGGAACGTTGGAGGTCACAGATTACTGGAATATAAATTACGAATCCTTGCACATGTTCTGCTTATACTTTAGCCGCGGAATTCCATGGAGATTTGCCTATTACTAAGGGATTGCTATCTTGAAAGAACAGTTGCTTCTGCTGAACTGGAAAGGAAGTGTGTAGTTTGCTAGCTCAGTATAGGTGATGCAAGTGTTATCATGCAGTAACACATGGACATGTCACCTTGGAGTATTAAAATCTTGCATTTCAGGGCTGCAGTAAAAAAAATCCTTCCAGTTACAATTTTAAATCTGTATACATGTATGCTCACAGACACACATGAAAACAAATTGTAGGTAAAATATAATAATTGCAAAATTGCTAGTTAGTAGTATTTTTTTGGGCTTCTCCGGAGATTTGGAATATTTAGTGAGTGCTGATATTAAATTCATGCATTTCACACTTATAGGTAGTATAGTACGGATATAGTGTCCTTCTCCTCGCTTTCCTTTTTTTTAAGAGATTAGTGGATTAACAGAATGCTACAGAAAAAGTAGGGTGTAAGCATGCACTGTGAAATCTCCCCTTCACACACTGACGGTTTAGTTTTGCTATACCTTTTGTTCGTTCCAACTAGAGGCTCATCAGAATGAATACTGCGGTGTGGTGCTTCACTGTAGAAGGCAAATTTAGACCGCAGACCATGAAATTTATGTTGATGGGCAATTCTCTCAAGGTCTCAAGAGGTTAGATCAATGTGCTATGGTAATGCATTCTGTAAGCTCAATTCTAATTTAAGCGTGGTATCTAAAGGCCATGAAAAGAGTGCTGGGACCTGCCCTGTCTGCAAGTAAATGTGTCCTGAGTGCCTTCTATCCGTGTACCATTGTGAAAGACAGAGAATTCTTCATGGCACCACTAACAGAGTTACTGGCCACAGAAACCTCTCTTACTGCTATAAACTTCAATGTAGCGAAGCGAGTCAGCAGCACCTTCGTGGCTGAATGTTAGGCTTAGGTGCTTTGTGGCATTTGGCAAGAATCAAACACAGACTGTACTTCAGTACATCTTTTTGGTAACTGTGTACTAGAACTGATGTCACACGTGGCGAAGTGTAACCAACCTGAGTGTTAACAGGTGCCACTCTAAATACATCTTTTATTGGGACATATAACAACAACAATAATTTATTAGTTATTGTTTATTATTATTATTCTAATATTTCTTGACTATACTTTTCAGCACCAGATACCCCTAATAGGAAAAAGCATTGCAGTGGATTCAGCAACAGAAATGAAATGCTAAAGGCTCAATTTTCAGAATTACTTTGCTTCTAATTCCTAGGATTTCACAATTTTCATAGAATATTACAACTTTGTCCTGATAGTCTTTTATAAGAGCAGGAACTCTAGTTTCTAGTTATAATCTATGCAATTATTAATATTTAGCAAATAGAAGACAGCAATTTATAGGAATACATTGGAGATTAAACTAGAGACTAGCTTTCAGGCATCTGGGCCTAGTATTAAGCATTTTAAGATGAGAAAATAGTACCAGAAGTTCCAGTCAGCAAGTTCTTATATCCATTACAATTTTCTTTTTCTTTGTTGTTCCTAAAACGTTACAGGACATCTGCAGTGCATAGGATTGTAAAATGCTATTTGTGACTTTTGTAAGGAGGTGAGGCATGTTTCATTTCTGAGACTGGGATGGAATTTTCTGATCTTTCAACAGATCCTTATTTTTATGGCTTCCGCTTTCTCTTATGTTTTTGCAGTTCTCTTAAAAAACTTTCTCAGTGTTGCTGAGATTAGTATGTATTCTGAGAATCTCCCCAAATCATGCTTTGGTCTGGTTCTGATTTATCTTTGAAGTCTTTCTTCTACACAAGTTACCTGTCAGTCTTTTAAATACTCATGTGTTAAACATTCACGTTAAATATTCACATCCACAGTGGTCTGTGATTTTTATGTTTTCCCCCCCAGGAGCTGGAATCACTTTTCATGCCGTTTGTGTATAAAGTCTGGAGTTGTTACAAAGCCTGTAAGAGTGCCTTTTCCCTCTTAGATAACAGTGAGGATCTGAACCAGCAGTTACATTTGACAAAATGACCAGCTCTTGAACATTCTCCTCTTAAGGTGCTACTGAGGCCCATGCTAGCATTCCTGTAATGGAGCAGATGTCGGGTTGGGTTACCACTGAGTAGTCTTTCTGTGGAACAACACGTTGTTTAGGCTGTAGAAAGCAGCATAAAATTTTTTATACAGGTTTTATCTTTTGTAGTCAACTAGTTCCACATACCTTATGGTTGATCCACATCTGATGATTCTTATATATGGGTTTTTCTCCTACAATAACTTTGGTCTGGACTGAGCATTCAGGACTGTTATTTTATGCCATACTGCCAGTGAATCTGATTCTAAATTGATACACCAACAGCAGTAGAAAATGTGTTCCTAATTGCATCACAAACTGGGAAATCTGCAAACCAATTATAATAAACTGAGGCTTATACATTGAAGACATCATGTATTTTGCTTCTGAAAGGGTGGGGAGACTGAGCCAGCTCAGTGTGTTCTAGAAAAAAACTTGACACCTGCTTCTGCAGGAACAGGTTGTTTCATAGAAAGACTTTTCTCATAATGCCCAGTGCTCTGTATAGAGGATTGGGGGTGCATGTCTGCAGAATATCACTGCAAGTCAGCCTGTGAACAGGTTAATGAGCCACCATATATCTGTTTTTTCAGATATCTAGCTAATGTGAAGTTTTTCAGATGTAAGCCTCTTGCATTCAAAATCATTCAAGCAGTTTTCAGATCGTCATTCAAATAATGTGTTGGTTTTTTTTTTTTATTGTAGCACCTAATAATAGATGTATGAAGACATGATTTTCTGCATCAGTGTAACAATATCTCATTAATTGTGTATGTTGGAAATGCTGACAAGTTTCTTTCAGGTACAAAAACCTTTTAACTAATGTCGGATTACTTTATTAACAGTCTTACTACACAGGAATAGAATCTGGCTCAGTGGACACAGACCAGCTTGGCATAACGTGTTGTGCCTTTAGGGGTCTACAGAGACTGAAAACATCAGTAGTCACAGTCCCCTTCTTTTGTCTAAGAACACATTTGGCTTTGTTTAAACTGAAGCTTTTGATTCCAGAGGATTTTTAATGAAGAAAAAATAGAGAATACAGTGGAACTCTGTGTTTTATTAATAAGCGTAAAAAACTTGGAACAAAGGGTCTCATCTGACCATTTCTAAGCAACTGTAAGGGATTTATTTGCTCAAATAAATTCTTAAGTTAAATCTGCCGGTGTTACCGTTATGTGAATAATTTTACTGTTCAGATACACAGAGCCATTGTGAACACCAGTAAGACTGCAGAGCACATACTACAGTTAATGGCAGTAGTCTCAGAAATGAAGGCAAAATAAATGAAAATGTGGCTGCCTATTAAAATACTGGATTTAATTAACATAATCTTACAAACTCTACTTGTAACTGCATATCCAATGGTTCAAAAACAACCATGGAGAGCTGGTGCTTTGTTCATTATACCAGGCAGTGTGCTGTACTTAGACGGCTTTCAGAAAGGCGGGCACTCATAATCATGCATCTTATGCACACTGTTACATAAATTTTAACCCCTGTTAAAGCAGCAATAGTCATGAATTACCAAATCTCCATCTGAATAGTTTTATTTATATCATTCCTTTTTTGTTGTTTTTTAAAAAAGTATCTGTACAAAGTATGTGTATCTATAGAGAGAATAGCCAGTGAATGAGCAAGTGTATAATGATAAGGCTTTTTAATCATACCCGTGAGTCACTCATTTTCTGGACAAATCTATTGTTTGCCTAATGTTGTAATCGATCTGAAGCATGATCAGTTATTTTTGTATTCAAATATCATGCCAGATACAAGTAACCAGGTGCAAAAATTGGTGGTGCAGTTGGACAGACTTTCAGACGGAACTGTGTGTACATTGTTCAAAAAATGCCCTTTCTAAAGGGAAAATAACACATTTTTTAGCTTCCAGAAGTGCTTTAAGCTATCAACATACTTGTGATATGCTAAAGTCTCCAGACCAATGTAGTGTAGTTTACCAGATTCCGCTCTGCATACACAATCCATTGGTATTTCGGCCATGTTCAGGTAAATCAACCCTTCAAATCATCGCGGAGGGTATTCATTTAGGAGAAAATGTTTTACTTGAGTAAGCTTTAATTTGTGCTATGTTGTTCTTTTAGAAAAATTAATTAGTCGCTCTTTATGTAGTCATCGTGCTGCCAGGGCAGGGTTTGCCCCGGGGCCGGGGGGCACCGGGACCGGAGCAGGAGCGAGGCCGGGCCGCTGGCACGTCCGCGGCGAGGCGGGCACA